CAAGACACACAACCAGTAGGGACTCTCATCAATTGCACAAAAACACTTGACCAGGTAACTCATTAAATCTGTTATCTTGAAAAGCATTACTGAGTTACCTGGTTAATTGCACAAAAACACTTGACCAAGTAACTAATTAATGCATTTTAAGATGAAGAGATTTAATATGATTTATTATAAAAGTGTTTACTGATTTTCATTGATTACTGGCAAATTCAAGGGCTTAAACAAAAAAAAAATTGAAAGAAACAAGATTTGTATACACTGTCTCTTATACACATCTTTGTTGGCAGGTTCAATGAGAGGTTAGTTTAATTACTGTAAATTGTAAAGTGTTTTCCTATTATTAGCATTGCCTCTCTGGCGAGTTGATTGGCCAAGTGGTTAGGTCAGGTGCACCGTAGCCTTCAGCTATGATATCGGCACTGGTTTGAACGGCTCACTCGCCAATAGTTCCGGTGGTGAACCAAGTCTTCTCGGATAAGGTCTGTAAACCGTAGGCCTAGTGTATGCATTTGGCTCGTGTGCACTTTAAACAACCCAGTACCTGTATATCCTTAAAGAAGAGTGGGGTTATCCAAGTGTACTTGTCCATTCAGTCCCTGTCATTTAATTGATATGCCACATAGGATAGTGATTAAGTTCACTGATTGGCATATTCTTGGTGCTCGTGCCTAAAGAAATGAAATGGAAAAAAAAAATGAAAGAAATAGTGGTGAAGGGTATTGCAAAGTGTGTGGCTTTCTGGACGCATAACTCAAAACTTTATTTCAAATTTCTATCATTGACAATGTTACCTGTATCTCGGTCCTTGAATTTGGTGCTGATCTAGCCAGCGTGCATAGATTGGCTTGCCACGCCTGGCCTATGATCCTAGACCTCATTTGGCTATTCTGAGCCGACTAGAGCAGACCGACTGTGGATCAAAGTAGGGGTGTGTCAAATTTGGTCTAATAATGAAATATGAAAAAAAAATTAGTATGCTATCAATGACAAATCTACATGCATTTGACACAAATTTATTGCTAACAGAATTACAGTGCGAACTTTTTAATTTTTTAAGGATTTTTCATTATATTGGCTACAATTTACGTAAATGCCATCATTTTTTTAGTATAAATATGGCGCAACAGGGTGTGGGCTTGCAGTCTCAGATTATTTTGTCTTTATGAATGGAAAACAAACGTATTAACCACTAAGCTATATCTCCACTACAACAATTGCAGTTTTACTTATTTTATAACTTTTTTGGTTTACATTTAAGAATGGTGATTTTTCTATACAGTAGCATTATTTACTGTAGATTTTCTTCAAATTTTGAACATAGTTTTTGTTTTGTTTTTTGCAGGTTTCTTTTGTCATTAGTATCCTGTAAAGAGAGTATGGTGATTGATGATCAACTTCAGATACTGCCTTTATCATCACATGTCTTGAACATCACACCTGTCCCACCTAAACCAAAGGTAAAGAATACTCTATTTAGTCTATAAAGAATACTGTAATTAGTCTGTAAAGAATACTGTAATTAGTCTGTCAATGATTAAGAAAGCTGTAGACTGTTGATACTATATTCAATTAAATTATTTTTTAAAGCCAAATTATAACAAAGCTTTTAGCTACATTTTGTCTAGTACTGGTGCCTTGAGCTATTGTCTAGTGTGCTGTGGAGGAAATATCACGGGGGAGAGAAATGGACAGGCTTAACCGCATCGTCAGTGCTTCATGAATACTGGGTCAGTGTGTGGCGTCGGTGAGCTTTGTCTACAGTGACAGGGTGGCATTAAAGTTTGATAGAATTCTAAAAGATCATTCTCATACTCTCCATTCTAATTGTCGCTAGTTTTATTCAACAAAGCAAGGGCTCGTACTAACCGCTATCGAGATTCTTTTATTTCTAGAAGAATCAGAAACTTCAATGCAAATCTTCAAAGATAGGCACTCGAATTATAGAATTATAGTATATTATTGAAATTGAAATTTAACTTTTATTCAAAAAATATATGTATCATGTCTTTGAGAATGCGAAACATCTTTTCGACCATGTAATGAAGTTTATCTGTATCTGTGGCAAATAACTGCTTGATGTTGAACCAGTATGCTTTGTTCATTTGGCATGGTAGTTATTAAATCAGTTTTTTATTTAATTATTATTATTAGTCACATCATTAAATGATTAATTGATTGACTAACTGGCTGATTGATTGATTGATTGTTTATTTGTAGGATGAGTCAATGAATCCAAGTGAACAAGAGCTTCAGGGCCTGAAGGATTCATTACAAGACACACAACCAGTAGGGACTCTCATCAATTGCACAAAAACACTTGACCAGGTAACTCATTAAATCTGTTATCTTGAAAAGCATTACTGAGTTACCTGGTTAATTGCACAAAAACACTTGACCAAGTAACTAATTAATGCATTTTAAGATGAAGAGATTTAATATGATTTATTATAAAAGTGTTTACTGATTTTCATTGATTACTGGCAAATTCAAGGGCTTAAACAAAAAAAAAATTGAAAGAAACAAGATTTGTATACATTGGTTAATGGGCAATGAAATTTAAAAAAAAATAAATTTAAAAAAATAAATAAAAAATAAGCAATTTTTTTTTTATTAATCCTATATCTTTAACTTTTGCTAATTTAAGATTTTGGTGGTAATTAATATGTTTAATTGACTGACTGATTTGTAGGCTAAAGCATTGCTGAAGTTTGTTGAAGCTATTTCTGAAAAAACTCTGAGAACTACAGTATGCATGACAGCTGCAAGAGGAAGGGGAAAGTCTGCTGCTCTTGGGCTTGCCATGGCAACCGCTGTGGCATTTGGGTAAAACAACAATACACTTTAAAATCATTTTATTATTAAAACAATAATTTATGATTATGAAAGTTGATATGTTTATTACTAATCTTGTTTTTATCAATGTGTGGATTTTTTTCAGGTATTCTAATATATTTGTGACTTCTCCAAGCCCTGAGAATTTAAGGACATTGTTTGAATTTGTTTTCAAAGGGTTTGACAACTTGGAGTACCAGGTAAGTGTAATAATTGTATGAGGCTTGCCATCCCAAAACCAGCATCACCGACCAAAAATGAAAATTGACAATTTAATTTAATCTATTCTCCACATTGTAAGCTTTAAAATGATTGGAACCCTGATTGCATTAAAAATAGACACGTAAAAACACTAGGGAGTTTTTGGTGCATGTAGACCTCAAATTATCAATGAAAGAAATTTATTAGTAATAATTGCTACAAAATGATTTTTAATTGTCTCTTTATTTTGGCCATGTGTTCACAGCAAAGATATTAGAAACACAAGATAGAGTTCTCCACAGAAAAAAAGTGTTCCACCGAAATGCATGGTGGGAATACAAACAACGGGGCGCCCCCCTACGGCTGGATCTAAAAAACTTTTACCAAACTTTTGTTACCAAGTCGTTGCGTATTTGTCAATTCTCAATTAAAAAATTACAGTTGTACAATTATGACAATTGTACCCAGACAGTGACATTGGTGAATACATAGCCTCCTTGGCGGAGGTAGAAATCGTTGCTATTATCCAAATAAAACACACAATTAAACCCATGGATCAGTATAAAAAACAACAATATAGCGCAGAATTGTATGGCCGGACGCACTCTAGTGATAAAGTTTTCCTCCATTACTGGAAAAAGAAGGGCGCCGTGTGCGTCTGGATATACTTAGCAACAGAAGGGCGCCCTGTACGTCGGGCCCGAAGTATAGGAAACTTGCATTATAAAAAGAGAAGGGCGCCACCTACGTCGGGACCAATTTCCGCCTCATTTTTACTATGCGAGTGCTCTATCTTGTATTTCTAGTATCTTTGGTTCACAGTGAATTCTGATGCTGCATTGTTTATTTCCTCTTAGTATTTCATTTATTAAAGCTGGGGAACACATTTTATGTACATTAGAATGTCAATAAAACATTTCTTGAATCTTATTACTTTACACATTCACATGTAGGACTATTTAATTTTAATTGCTTCAGTGATAATTTCATAGCTTGCCACCGTCAGTTTCACTTGGACCAACGTAACATGTTAAAGTATGAGTTTATATACAATTAATGTACTTATCGAATTGTACATTGATAAATAAGCATAATGGATTTTTCTACCAGGAACATATGGATTATGAGCTTGTTCAATCCACTAACCCAGACTTCAACAAAGCAGTTGTACGTGTCAACATCTTCAGAGAACACCGGCAGACCATCCAGTACATCCATCCCTCTGATGCCCATAAGCTAGGCCAGGCGGAGCTTGTTGTCATTGATGAAGCAGCAGCTATTCCACTTCCATTAGTCAAGAACCTCCTTGGACCTTACCTTGTGTTTTTGTCATCAACAATTAATGGGTAATTGTGCAATTTATTTTGTTTATTCATCCCCAGTCAAATTATTTGTGTTCTTGGCAAGGCATTTTGTGTACAGAATCTTTTAACCAGTTGTATAAGTGCATACCTGGTATGGGGTGTTTGGTCTTTGCACTGCACTTAACAGCTGCAAGATTAGGAATAGTCACCAGTAACCCTTAAAAAAATGTCCTATAGTATCCTTAATTAAACCTATATACTGCCTATAGGATCCTATAGGACTTTTTTTTAAAGGGAAGTGGGGGAGGTGCTAAGGAGACGACAAGCCTGATCATCTGAATTTGGAATGTTTTTTGAGAAACTTCATGACCAATTTCAAGATTTATATGTTCATGTGTAGTTATGAAGGCACTGGTAGATCTCTATCTTTGAAGTTACTGCAGCAGCTGCGTCAACAGAACTCTTCCCTAGCAGCAGATAGCAGTAAGAATAGCAAGACAGTTGGTACTACATCTAAGAGCAGTGAAGCAGGGGCCTCTGCATTTGGTAAGACCTTTAATTGGTTCCTTAATTGTCATTTATACTATTATGAATAAATCTAACATTCAATGGTCTTTTTTTTTTTAAACTATTAATTGCATTTCTTTTCCAATTAAATCCTAGGCCGTGTATTGCATGAAGTTGTGTTAAATGAGTCTATTAGATATTCCCCTGGCGATGAGGTGGAGAGCTGGTTAAATGCTCTGCTCTGCCTAAATGTTGCAGAGGTGCCTAGGATAGGCTCGGGATGCCCTCTACCAGAAGACTGTGATCTATATCCTTTGTAATATTAACGTTATTGTGTGATGTTAATTTAATTATTTTTTTTTTTGCATTTTTGTATTTCTATTCCTTATAATTAAATTTTCTTTTATTTCAGTGTTAATCATTATATAGTTTTTGTATTCCTTAACAAAATTTACATATTATGTGAACAGAGATTCATTGTTTAGTTACCACAAAGGTTCTGAGGTTTTTCTCCAGAGGTTGATGTCCATCTATGTAGCAGCTCACTATAAGGTTTGAATTTTTAAATAATGCAATATCTCAGCTTCGATACACTCATGAGTATGTCTTTAGCAAAGATTATAGAAAGGGAAAAGCCCACTTAGCTAAATAATGAGTAAGTCCACTGAAATCTGGTATTGCAGAATTTGTAAGAGTAAAATGTAATGGTTGAAGACATGAAAATGTAACAGCAACTCTAGTTACTCCTGGTAAAACCTTTTCTACTGATAGATTTTATAATCAATATTATATTTTATATATTTTAAAAATGATATTTTTTACCTTCAACTAGAACACCCCTAATGACTTGCAGTTGTTGTCTGATGCTCCTGCTCATCATGTTTTCTGTCTCTTGGGACCAGTAGATACAACGCTGAACACATTACCAGAAGTACTGTGCGTAATACAGGTAAGCCTTCCCTGTACGTATATGTGGCAAAGAAAAGTCAAACCAGCCACTCGTCGCAAATCATGTTTCAGAGAAAATGAAAATTTAAAAAAATCTATTTTATTGCACTAAACTAATCTTTACATATCTATACATTATTCTATGCCTGTCTCTTATACACATCTAGATGTGTATAAGAGACAGGAAGTATCCTATATGACTGAAGGAAAAAAGTACATGCATTATGAACAATAAAGATCTGGATATTCTGAATGAATATAAAAATAAAAAGTTAACAAAACAAGAGGATAAATAAGAATAATAGATACAAACTGAAGACAAATAAGTGAAAGTCATTCTAACCTACAATAGTAGTATACACAGCCGGTTTTAGAAGAGGCTAAATATGGGAGAAAGCGCTAACGCTCCCGAATATAATTTGAATTTAAAATATCATCAATACCAGATAATTTCATAAGAATAGGCAAAAGCAATATTAAATTACACTTCGTTAACTACAAGTAATCAAAGTACCTAATGTCCAATTTCTTAATCCTGAGAAGCTTTGCCGCACCATAGAGGCCATCATGGACGCACATTTCATGGACCGTCACCATTATTGAAGTCATAGGCCCCTCCGCTGCTATTTCGCCATTTACCAGCAACAAATCGAAGTTTGACTCCTTTTTGATAAAGTATACGAACTTCTTGACTCCATTTTCTTTTCTCTGCCAGGTCAATATGTGTTAGATCGTCAACAATATATACTGAGTTATCCTGCAGGGCCTGTCTTCTTTTTTTCATAATTTCGATCTTATCTTTGTAAGATAGGAATTTCACCAACATGTGTTGGCATTCGGATTACCATCTCTGTGTGCACGCTCAATACATGCCTCAAACTGAAACTTCTCTCTTAATAAAGATTCTACTTTAAGTATACAGTTTTCACCATCAGTTTTTTTCATTCCAATAATTCTTATGTTGTTTCTTCTTGAGTACCGCTGTGTTCTATTAAGC